CATTATCTGTTTTCACTTTGGGCTAACACTTTGATTTAAAAAGATACAGATATATTTTGCAAACAGTGATGTTCCAAAGGAATAGTTGTTGTGCTTGTTTCTCCTCAGGACCTTGGGAGGGAGGACCAGCTGCTTTCTAAACCTCATATCTACTTCTGTATTTTCAGTTCCATCTCTCAGTTTCTCTAAAAGACTCTTTTAGTGTCCTAATTCTGTTCCGAATGACCTATATAAGGGAAAAGGAAAGGAAAAGAAGTATTCTTTGCTTACTTAAATGAATAATTTGTTAAATTGGGTCAACACAAATGTAGTTTAATAAATTAATATAAACAGTAAAGCAACAACATACCTTATTAATTTATTTATTATTTTATGTATAGAGTTTTATTACATATCCCTGGCTGACCTGGATCTTGTGTAGATCAGGGGCTTGCCTAGAACTATTAAAGAGAGCCACCTGCCTCTGCCTTTCAAGTCTGGAATTAAAAACATGCCTCACCATGTCTCACCACAATCCATTATTTTTAAGAGCTATATTTTTGCCAAGTTTGAAACAGCTAGGAATTGTGCTACATAGTTTTCTCAGTCAACTGTGTGACATAGGTACTCTATTAAAACACCAGTTGAAATTCTGTACCATGAAAAGATTGCTAACCTAAGATGAACCTTAATTTTAAAAAGTTTCTAAATTACGTTTGGTTATAGAATTTGTGCGCAAGAACTCTTTATATTTGAAATGATGTACATTTTCTTTGTGCTCCTTGTACTTCAAGTTTGTTGAGCTTCTTGAATCTGGGAATTTCATTTTTACCAAATTTGGAAAAATGCAGCCATTTGTTTTTTCAAATATTCTATTCTATTCTATACATACCACACTTACTACATATGTAGTATGTGAGTGTGTATGTACACAAACTTACTCCTCCTTTTGGAAGTCCATTGCATGTATGTTAGCTTCTGTAATGTAGTTTTAAAGCTTACTAATGTTCATTAGTATATGTTGTTGTTGTTGTTATTGTTGTTGTGTTTGTTTCTTTGAATAGTTTGTGGTGGTATTCATTAATCTTTTATGTTTAGTCCTACCCAGCATGTATTTCATTTCAGACATAGTTTACTTTATAGAAAGCTTGCCCAGTATATATTCCATGTTCAAATTTTTCAATTTTATTTCTTTAAATATTTAAACATGAGATATAGTTACAATTGTCTTACTTCCCATGTCTACTAATTTTATTATTTCATTAAATTGATTTGGATTGATTTTTTTTCTCCTCAATATGTGTTATGTTTCTCTGCTTTTATATATCCTGATAATTTTTATTTGATATCAAATATATAGAATTCTAATTTTTATTGGATATTGGATAGTTTAATATTCCATAAAATACAGATATCTTGAGCTTTGTTCTGAGAAACATTTAAGTTTCTCAGAAACAGTTTTAACTTTTCAGAATTTGCATTTGTATCTTATTTTATTTTTTGAGACAGAATCTCTTTATGTAGCCCTGACTTTTCTAGAACTTACTCTGTAGACCAGAATGGTCTTACAGAGATCTACCTGCCTCTGCCTCCCAAGTACTGGGATCAAAAGTGTTCAATTATCACAGTGACTATAAAGTTTTTTAGGCAGTACCTTGTTATAATGTTGAGTCAGAACCCTTCCAAGTACTATGATTGGTGGAAACATTAACTGTTTTGTGTTGTTACCTGAAATAACTTTTGGTGCTTTCCATGGTTTTGCATAGTTTCTGCCCATTTATGTACTGACAAGAAATTACCTGAATGAAGTCTGCAGAGATGCCTTTTGCATCCATTTCTTATTTAGCTTTCTCTTCCATGATACTCTGCCTTTCGTATTTGGCTGTATTACTTCCAGGCTTAGTTCCCTGTACTCAGCTACCTCAGTTTCTTCCTCTCTGTTCATGGACTGGGAATCTTCTAGGCAGTAAGATGAGGCTGTTGTTGGGTTCAGGTTTGTTTTTCATCTGTCAAGGATCATGGGTTTTGTTACCTCGTGTCTAGTGCCTTGAGGCATGCCAGGTGTGTCCAATCCAGGTTCTTACAGGCGCCTCTCCAAATCGATGCTCCTTTGCATTCATCTGTAGTGTAGTCCATCTGAGGGACAAGACCTTGAGGGAGAGGAATTCGTGAGGTTGGCTTAAAAGTGTCATCTGCAAAAGAGGAGTTGGTTGTATTAGATATGTATCACTGTGTTATGTGGACTTCTTGCTTAGTGGAAGTATGTGGTCCAGTAAGGCCAAGAGTGGAATTCAGAGCAGAAATCTTTTGCCAGAATCCAGGTAAAATACTGGGTGAGATGGTTGAAGGGAAGGTTCATTCAAAGGTAATTTCAGTAAATGGATACTTTCTAAGTGCTGTCTCCTAGGTGATAGGATATGGTGATTTCTCTACCAGTAAAGTCCTTTACACTAAGGGATAGATGTAGGACCTTGATACAGTGTTGTCCTAAAGAGGCAAATGATGTCTCACATGGAAGAAAAGGAAGAACTTTTGTAGGGCTAGGAATGTGGTTAGGTAGTAGAGTACTTGCCTAGCATGTAAAGGCCCTGGGTTTGATTTCCAGCAAAGGGGGGGGGGGAGGACTATGGACTTCCTAAACTGAACACTGTGTGAAAATTTATTAGAAATGACCAGAGTGAACAGGAGGAGTCATAAACAATAGAAGAGACAAGAAGGGAAGACATTTTAAATGTGCAATAAATGAAAAGCATGAAGATGTGAATAAAAGTGGTTAAATCAATAGGCTTGAGGAAAAAATGTGCAAGATTATTTTGATGAGAAATCACAAAGGATGTTAAAGATGAATACAGGTATAGTCAGGGCAGGTCCATTTGAGGTTTGGAAATCAGATATTCACCTAAGAAGAGCCAGTAACCATGGTTGTTTAAGCAATAATCTTTAGCTGCTCAAAAACTGAAAAAAAAAATCTGTAAAATTTATTTAGAATTGGAAATATGGGATAGAAGAAAATAGATTATGGATTCTAAAGTGAATAAATTCTTTTTACATATATTTTAGTTTTGGTTATCATACACCATGGGTTTCATTATATCATTTTATGCATAATAAATCAAAATCATTGCACTTTGCTTATATTTTTCTTCTCTATTACACTCCATCATCCTCATGCCTTCCCTCTTAATTTTTCCTGCCAGTTAGTTCTCCAATAATTGAATTCTTTAGTAGTAGTGTGTGGGCATTAACTGAGGAAGAAAGCAGATGACATCAGAGGGAGACTGATAGACTAGAGCAGAACTCCAGACTTTTTCCAGTCATGCACTCATTCCACTGGAGAAGTTTTTCCATGAGCTTAGCTGTATAGCATATATAACAGGTATACAAATTAAACACTTAACAAGAATAAATCATTAGTTTATTTTAAAGCAATTCTTTAATAGTCATGTAACTAATAGTTATTAAAAATAAAAGCAAATTCATGTACTACTAATAAAATCTGTTATTATTGTGGAGATGATCAATATTTTGATAGGACCATTAGAAATTCTGATTTTTATCCCAAGTCAAAATTCATTGAATTTTTTTTTAAATGAAACTTGTTAGCAACTTTTTTCCTTTCTTTTTCTTTTTTTATTGGATATTTTATTTATTTACATTTTAAATGTCATCCCCTTTCCCTATTTCCCCTCCCTAGAAACCCCTATCCCATCTTCCCTCCTCTTTTATACTTTTATACCATTTTGATCACATGCAAGTATTCAGGTCAGTTCTAGGTTGAGGGACTAGCAATACAATAGATGCAAATAGTCAAGGAACAAGCAAGACAATAACACAGATAGTCAAAGAACAAGCAAGGCAATAAACAAAATTCCGTGAACACTCCCATGATCACTGTTTCTAAGGGATTATCAGGATGGCCAAAATATCTGAACCAGCTTCCCTCTCTTAGCCCAAAGTCATTTTCATGTCTGAAGCCTACTTCCTTGTTCTAGCCTAAAATTTAGATTCCTGCCTGAAATTACTTTTTTGTTCTAGCCTAATATTTAGATTCCTGCCTGAAATTACTTCTTTGTTCTGGCCTAAGATTTAGATTCCTGCCTGAAATTACTCCTTTGTTCTAGCCTAACGTCAGATTCCTGACTGAATCACACTTCCTTGTCCTTGGCCAAAGTCATATCCTGCCAAGCAGCCCATTTCCTTGTCTTTGGCACATGTCAGATTCTTGCCGAGCAGCCCCAAAAGCTCTCCACTTTGCCCCCTTTTTTATTTGATTAACAAGACTGAGCCTGTCTTAGGTCATTCTGACAAGAATGCCTTCCTTACCCGTCATGGAATATGCATTATGTTAGCAACTCTTAAAATCAAACATTCTAACACAATACAACGCAAAAATATACTAATTTGATACATTTTGAAGAATCATGGTAGGAAAATGTTATTTATATTTGTTTTCCACATAAAATTAAACCATCATTGGTTACATAAGAACAGAAAACATTGTATGACCATTCAAAACACAGACATTTATAACATATAGTAGTTTTGAATGTGACCTCAGATGTTGTAGGAGCTTGTGTGGTGTGATGGCTTGCAAAATGCTCTGTGCATGTTATATTTAGAATCAAGGCTGAAGTGTAGTTTTGTGACATAGTGCAGGTAACTGCTGCCAGAGACGTCTTTATTTCATTATACATCTTATTTTGAATTAGGTTTTGAGTGGTCTGTATTCAGAAACCTTTTACTGTTAGCCAGATTTTTTTTTACCCTATATTTAGTTGTGTTGCTTTCTTTTTTTTTTTTTTTTTTTTTTTTTTTTTGCCACGAGGTGTGTTTTATTTTCATCAATCATACAAATAATTTTCTATAATATCCCAGGGCAAACAGGTGAAATTTGGCAGTCCGATTAGTGGGGGTCCCCTTCAGAGACCCGCAGGCCGGTGGCATCAGCACGGAGTGCCCGGGTTCACAGTGCAGCTTGTGGCTCGAGTCCATCTTGCAGGTGGCTCTTCCTCCACATCACGAGGGGGTCTTGGAGATGACGGGGTGAGGTGGGATGGGGAAATCTTCCTAGGCTTTTAGGAGATTTCACTCCTCTTTTCCTGTTCAATGGTCTCTTTGGTCGGCAGGGTGTTCTTCTCCTGCGTCTCGGTTTTCTTCAGCTTGGCCTTATCGAAGCTGGCGATTTCCCCCATATCCGGCTTGTCTGCCATTTTCTTACAACTCGTGGATTCTCGTTCCGAGCTCGCGCTCCAGGTGCTCCCACTCGCGTTGCTGCAGCAAGAGACCGTGTTGCTTTCATATGAGATTACAATTCACATTTTTAAGAAGTTGGGCTTTAGGAAACATTTTGACAGTTTCTTACAAAACTAAACTTTGTCTTACCATATGAATTAGCAATCCACTTGTAGGAATTTGTCTGAATGAGGTGAAAACTTGCATTCATACAAAAGACAGCACAAAAATATTTATAGGACCTTTATTCATAGTTTTCCCAAACTAAAAGTAACCACAATAGCCTTTGAAAGATAAATGGATAAGCTGTATTGTATCCATACAATGGAATACTGCCAATAATTTTCAAAACCCTCCATTCAGTTTTATGACTCCAAATGAGGCTGTAACTTACAGTTGAAAAAGTGGGGACTAGCTGTTGCAGTAAGAATGAAGAAACAGTAGGTTTGGGAAGAAACAAAATGAAAAGGAGTAGAAAATTGAAGTCGGGAGGACTTAGAGAATTTGAAATTTGAGTAGTGATTAAGGCCAAAATCAAGACAGTTGCTAACAGATAAAGTAAGTTGAGTGGACTAGAGATAACCAAAGTCAGAAGTATAGGCTTGCATTCCTGCCCCCCCCCCACTTGAGTTCTTATATCTGCCACCTTTCTAAACCTTATTCCGCCCTGATCCCTTCCAACCCCCTAGCACTAGGTAGGAGAGAAAGAAGATTAGATGGGAAAGGAGGGGTAGGTAGACCTTTTCAAACTACTTCTTGCTGATTGGGGTATCAGGTTCCTTAGGGCAAGTCCAGCCTTCATCATCAGGATATCCAACTTCTTCTTGTCTCTTTGTTCATGACCACTTGACAGACTGCAGCAGCAGGAACCAACAGTAGCTTCCTTGGTATGCACCTCCTGCCCATCTCAGGGTCCTAGCATTTATATACCCTCTGAAAATTGCCAGAATTCCAAATGTCATATACTCGCAGAAACTATCTGCAGCTGCTAAAACCATGCGCCTGCTAAAGCAAGAAGCAAATCATAGTCACCTGCTGTGAAGCAGCCTCTTAACCCACACCTGAGATTAAAACAAAAACGTATTCACATAACATAACTGGATTTTTAAAGAAACAAAAATTCTCACTACAGAGAAGGAACTAAGCTTATTATTCTTTAGGAAGCCGTGATCTCTTGGTTACCACTAAAGGTAGAAATGAGTATGATTAAAAACTAAAAAGGAAAACAAAATAATAGTTAGCTAATTTAACAGTGTTACTAAACTAATTTTGTGTAAAAAGAAAGATGGTAATTTATAGGTTTATAAACATCATTATATTGAATAATAAAAATTTCCAGAATATTTCAGTAGTGCTTCAGGGAAAAAATTGTTAATGTAATCTTTTAATGTGACATAATTTCGTAATAAAAGCTAGAGAAGAAGTTGAAATGCAGTATGCTGTTGGCAACATAACCATTTTCCCCACAATGGACACTGAAAGGAAAGAAAGATGCTTTAGATTTAGGTGCTGAGTCTTACTTAGTCTTTTATTAAGATGGGTTATTTTCAGAGAATGAAGGATAAGAAGTTGTATAGAAACACATATTTACAAAGTCTGAATTAAAAAGGACGAATGAACTAAAGTAAAATACCAGAGTATAGATAGTGGGAATACATTAGTAAGTCCTGATATTTACAAGGTAGGTTTAGCTTGTGGAGTGTGTATATTCATAGGAATCAATACAAAGAAGAATTTAGATTTGAATCAATCCTTGAAAGATAACTAGATTTGGATAATTATAGAAAGAGAAGGGTATTTTTACACATACACACACACACACACTCACACACACACAAAGTTGCATAGGCAGAATAAACTAGATTATGGCAAATTTGAAAATTAGTATAGTTTTGGTTGTATATGACAGTCATTTGAGAACCATTTGCAGTTTCTTAATAGGAGATTAAAGTATTAGTTTGGAAAATCATTTCAGCCTTAATTTACAAAAATAGATTCCGTGTGTAATCTAGTGTATACATTTGATATTTAGTATATAACTTTATTTAATCTAATTGAATAAGTCACTATTGTTAAGTACTGAGTCTACATCAGTAAATGGGTTCGTTTTAAATTGTAGCAGTGCTTGAAGCTGAGGTGGGAACAGGTGTAAGAACAAGCAAGAGGGATGGTGAGTAGTGTGGTGGTGGGAGGGTCCTAGATCAGGCCGAGCTTGTGATTGGAGAATGAACAGATGAAGAGCCATGGTCAGGCAATGGGTGACATTCTAGATCACATGTGTAAATGACAGTGCGAAAGATGATGCCAAGCCCAAAGTGGAGTAGACAGTTTTTTTAAAGTATGTTTCTGCAGAGGAATGTTAATTTTAAAGAAAGTGTTTAATTTGCCTTTATTTGTTATAATTTTCAACTAAGAACATTTAAATGTGTAAAACATCAGTATCTCTAGTTTTCTTTGAGAATATTTCAGTAGCTATGTGTCATAGTCAATGTTCTATTGCTGTGAAGACACCATGACCACAGCAACTCTTACAAAGGAAAACATTTGATTGAGCCTTGCTTACAGTTTCAAAAAGTTAGTCAGTTATCCACATGGTGACATGTAGGTAGACATAGTCACTGAGAGTTCTACATCCAGATGCTGGCAGCAGGAAGAGAAGATAAACTGGGCCTGGCTTGAGCTTTTTAAACCCCAAAGCCCACTCCCATTGACACACTTCCTCCAACAAGGCCACAACCATTTCCTGAAAGGCCACACCTCCTAATCCCTGTCAAGTAGCACCATTCTCTAATGACCAAGCATTAAAATATATGAGCCCTTGGGAGGCAGAGGCAGGCGGATCTCTGAGTTCGAGAGTTCAAGGATAGCCTGGTCTATAGAGTGAGTTCCAGGACAGCCAGGGCTACACAGAGAAACCCTGTCTCCAAAAACCAACCCCCCCCCAAAAAAAATATATAAGCCCACTAATCAAACCACTACCCTACATATTTGCACATTTGTTCAAGCTTTCCTTTCTGATAAAAGTGCATATTTCACTTTCAAATTTATTTAATAAGTAAGAACTTTAAGGATATACTATTACAGTTATTCTTTAGGATGTTGGAATACTTGTGAGTCTCCATTTATATAATTTATCTAAGAGACAACAATTTTTAGGAATTAATTTACATTTTATAAAAATTAAAATATCATTATTGTGGAGGTTAGAGGATAACTTTGTGGAGTTAGTTTTCTCCTTTTGCTTTTACATGGGTGCTTGCATTGAACTCAGATTGTCAAGCTTGTGTTGTTGGTCAGCAAGCACTTTTATCTGATGAGCCATCTTGCAAACCCAGTTCACATTTTAAGTTTGTAACTAGTGATTTTTGTGCTGTACTTTCAAATAATTGTAAAGTTCAAAGTTGTATCTATGCTAAGAGCTGTAAAACTGCATTTCAGAGTTAGGGCAGTACTGATTTCAGTAAATTTTACTATAAGGAAAGACTTAATCACTGTTTTATAATGACTCTGTAAACCATAAATTGTATACTTTGTTCACTGTTGTTTTTCAAAGGAAGTCTCACTCTGTAGCCCTGGCTGTCTTTAAACTCATAGACATCTGCCTGCTTTGGTCTCCTTGGATTAACGTATATACCTCCATACCCAGCCCATAAGTATTTTTTGAGTTATATTCTGGAAGAAGATTCTGGTAGTAGTTGCATAGTTAGCTAGACGGTTGTCTTGTTTTTCTACAATGGAGAAATTTGTTTCCATACTTACATTAAAACTTTAAAAAGCTGGGCATGGTGGTATACGCCTGTAATATCTATTAGAGTGTCTTATTCTTTTTTGTATGTATGTTTTTGAGGCAGGGTCTTACAGTGAGGTCTAGGTGGTCCCAAATATTGGGATTTACAGTCATGAGCTATCACACCTGACTTTTAAAAAAAGATAGAGCCCAGGCTGTCCTCCAACTCATGATCTTCTTGCCTGTCTCCAGTAGTTTGATTGCTGGCATATATTATCACAGCCAGCACATTGAAAACAAAACAAAATAAAACAAAAGGGTATCTGTTATAGTAATTTTGGAGTTTTGGTTTCTTTGAAAAACACAGAGTGTTTTCATTTTAATCCCAGGAGTAGGATATGGGGCTGCTTCAGATTGTCCACAACAGCTGACTGTCATTTGCCTCATGCTCTATCTAGCAGGGGTGTGATGTTGCCAGCTATGGGTAGTTTCTTCAATTGTGGGCATTTGGAATTCTGGGGACTTTTCAGAGGGAATAGAAATGCTAGAGCCCCAAGAGGTGGGGTGGGTTGTTGTTGGTTGCTGTAGGTTTTGTTGGTTGCTGTTTGTCTTGGTTTGTTGTTTACAAAGAAGAAACAAGAAGAAATTAGATATTCTGACAGCAAAGATCAAACTTGCCCCAAGGAACTCAGTGCCCCTAATCAGCAGGAAATAATCTAATGATAACATCCCCCTTTCCCCTTATCCTTTTTATATCCTATCTAGTGTTAGGGGGTTGAAAGAGTGGGAAATGGGTGAAGAAGGGTGGAAGAAAAAAAGAACCCACAAAGTGGCCAAAAACTGATTGCAGTCTGTGTCTGTGTCTCATGTGGATGCTCTTAGAGGCCAAAAGAGTGACTTGGGTTCTTTTGGAACTGGAATTATTGGCAATTGTAAGCTGCCCTACATGAGTGCTAGGAACTGAACCTCAGTAATCTGCAAGGTCATTATGTGCTCTTAACTCTTGGGGGGCACATATGTCTTAGTTAGGGTTCTCTAGAGTCACATAACTTAAAGAATATCTCTATATATTAAGGGAATTTATTGTGATGATTTACAGTCTGTAGTCCAACTAATCCAACAATGGGCAGCTGTGAATAGGAAGTCAAAAAGTATAGTAGTTGCTCAGTCCCATGAAGCTAGTTGTTTCTGCTGGTCTTCTGTAGAAGTAGGATCCAACAGATGTGCTGGCAAGTAAGTGCAAGAAGAGTGAATTTTCCTTCTTCCAGTGTCCTTATGGAGGCCTCCAGCAAA